GGCCTCTCCTCCTCGTTGAGCCTGAGGGTGAGATCCCTCCCTGCGGCACCCACGGACAGAGCTCAGCCCTCGGGGCCGCCGAGGTCGATCCTGGGGGATCTCTCGGCACGAACCCGAGTAACAAACTGACACTAAACCCCCCCAAAAAGACCGGGACCACTCAAGTGCAACTCCGTCTACCCCGCCAGGGTCCGCAGGCGCTTCCACATCTCCTCTTGAGCACCGGTATCAAAGGCTCCGGCACAGCTCCGGGCACCTGACCTTGGGCCAGCGCAGGAGGAGGGAGAGCTCCGGAGCCAGCCCAGCACGGTCTCCGTCTCATTCCCAGGTGCAAAACCAGGCTGAAAAGGGGTGGAGGAAAATCTGAGGATTGCAGGTAATGCCAAGAGCCGGCCCTTCGCCATGACCGTGCCGGGCCGGCCGGAGGCCGGAGCCGCAGGGCCACCCCGACCCCAGGCGGGGCCGCAGCCGTAGATGACGATCCTTGACCGTCGGCCTCACGATTCCTCCTCGGAGGGATGGCGGGACAGTCTCCACCACGAGTGGGCTCCTCCACTGCCCCGGTAGATTCCGGACGTTGGGATGGCGGGGTCGGAGCCCCGGTAGCTCCGCTCCGTAGGGCGTCCGGAGACTCGGAACGTTGAGGTTTCTCCTCCACCTGCATGGATCTTCTCGCATGGAGCAGCCAGCTGGGCTGGCCCTGGATCGAGGCCGATCCCGGGGCGGGGTGGGGGGACCCGGAGAGCTTCTGTCCTTCCCGCTTTCCGGAAAAAAGTAGCACGTCCGACCCCGCGCCGCCCTGGCCGCGGTGCAGCGGGGTCCAGGCCGGGCTCCGGTGAGGGGGGAGAGATCCCAAAGCTGGGAATTTTGGGAGCTTTGGGGAGTTTGTCCTCCGCTTGCAGCCGGCGGGCGCGCCGGGGCGGCTCCGCCCCGAGAGGGCAGCGATCCCACCTCGGCCCCTCCGAGCGCTCCCGGAACGCCGGCAGATCCCCCGGGAGCGAGGGGAGCGGTGCCGGGAGCCGCCGCCGAAGGTAACCGGGGTCAAAACCCAGCCTTAAACCACCAAAAATCCCGAATTCCGGAGGGGCCCGGTGTCCCTGGAGTCCTCAGATTCCCAAAACAAAAAAGAGGTGACTCAAAGCCTGGCAGCGTCGCCGCCCTTCCCGGCGCGGGAAGGGGATCCCGGCGCCTCGGAGCCGGAGGGGTGAGGAATTCCTTTGGACTTTGGTTAAACCCAAATTCCTGCCGGGACGAGGCGCTGCCCCGGAGCCCGCTGGGCCCGTCCCGGACCTGGGCTCACCGAGTCAGTCCAGGCCTGGGATCGCCTTTCCCGGGGGGTCGTTCCCTGGCTGTGAATCCTT